CACTGATCCCTATCTCCGCAGGACGGGTATCGCATTACGGCTTTTGTTGCGGGTCACGACAGCATCGTCGGCCGGGACCTGCAGCTGGACCACATCTCGGACCCCACGGTGGGCCCGCTGGATCAGCTACTGCGCGACCACTTCCTGCAGGGGCTGCTGAAGCACGTGAAGGGGCGGGGAGAGCGGCACTGGGACTTTGGGGCGGGTGCGCTGGACCTGTCGGACATGGACGTCTGGGGCACGGAAGAGGGCAAAGAGCGGCTCGAGGTGGAGCTCGAGAACCGGCTCTCTGAGCATCGGCTAAAACAGGAAGGACCCGTCCCCTCTGGCCTCCCAGTGAGTGTTCGTTGACGTCGTCGTCGTGTTGCCCTGTATTATTATACACATCCGCAGTGATCTCGCGCCTCCCGCATCCGTTGTATTTTTTTAGAATCCCACCCGCATTCGCTGCCCTCCCAACGTGTGCGCTTGTTTGTGCGTGACGCGGCGACGACGAGGTGCCCCTAAAATCGAGCAGCGACGGAAGCACAGACCGTGACGCGGTGTTCGCAGAAGCGTTGTGGCGCGGCCGACGGGAAGAGTGACAACGGCACGCCTTCCGCGGGGAACTCCAGAAACAGACACGCGCCGGGCTCAGATCGTGCTCGGATCCGCCGCCCGCTGCTGCCGGGTGCGACGGGAACGCGCCTCTCCCTTTTGGGGCGCGTCACAGACCGCACGCCCGATATGGACAGGCCAAACGGCTGTTCGTCCGAAATTCACACTTTGGGGGGAAAGTGTTTGTCTGGTGGTCTGTGCACTCGGGCAGCTTACGTTTATATCTCGCCCTCATGACCGCCCCCGTATGCCTCTCTCCGCCGCTGGTTGGCTCTATGTATGCGGTCGAAAGCGCATACAACGGACCGTCGATATTGAGGACCCATCCGGAAGTAAGCATCGTCCATGCCTTCTCTACTCGCGAGACTTCTCGGGAACTGATATGTTTGTTTCCATCTTCCAAGCAGGTATTCTCTCCGATGGATTTATTACAACCTTTGTCACCTGCTTCGCGCTTTGGATAGGGCCCTTCTCTCCCCGCACGCCTGCCATGCCGTAAGGACGGGTATAATGATATGGCGAACGCCTTGCGGTCTGAAGTGGGCACGGCGTCGTCCGCGGGGTTGATTTTCCTTTTAGAAGCGCGCCGGTCAATAAATTCCTAGGATCAACGGTTATTTCCTAGGCACGGCACCCTTTCGTGCGTCTTACCGTACACAAGGGGCATGCACACTCCCCATCCGACGCGATAGTGCCCACTTACCCTTGATCCCCGGGCCTTCTCCAGATTTCTCTGCTCCTTCGCCGCCGCCACATCTCCGCGGGAATTTAAAGCGAATTTTGTCGCCCGTCCCGGACAGACATGCTTGGCCACGTTTGAATTCTTCATGACATTGGCGAACCTTTTTCTCGTCGCCCTGCCCCTCGGGTGTGGTTATCAGAGACGGAGGCGGCTATGTCTCGTACCGGTAGATACTCGTTCACTCGTGTAATTGGCCCCCAACCGGTTGTATGCTAATAGCTGCGCAATCAGTATGCGAATGGTGTGGATTGCATGAACTACACACTGCTATGCCCACTCGACAACGGCTCCGTGGTCGGAGGCGGGGCTGTCATATGCACCCTCTGGCAGCATACAGCATACACTGATGTCGCGCCGGCGTAGCGGAAGATTCACTCCTCCGCCACACTTGCAATATATCGACGTCTCTGCGGGGCGGCTCACATGTTCCTGCCAACCGCTGCACGCTCTAGCAAACTATAAAGACCCTCAATGGACTCCTAGACCTATTCAACGGCCAGGACACCACTCTCGGCCGCCAACGCCTACCCTGCTTCATTTTGCGAACATGCCCGCCCGTATCAGCAAATTCCCGACTTCTTACACGGCATATGCTTTCCTCGAGCCTGGAGGAAAACTGCAGCGGGTCACCGTCCCGTGGCGCTTCCCCAAGGCCGGGGAGATCGTCATCAAGGTGCTCGCCTGCGGAGTATGCGGAACGTACGCCCCCGCCCTTCTATAATAATACCTCCACATTTCCTGACGAAGATATTACGGCTGCTTCTAGCGACGACATCTGCCCGTCGCAGGTGATGCCGGCCCCGCTTCCCCGTATCCCAGGGCATGAGGTGGTCGGGGACGTTGTCGCGGTGTCGGCGCGCGAGAAGATGTGGAAGGTCGGCCAGCGCGTTGGGGCGGGGTGGCATGGCGGGCATTGCTCGACGTGTGTCCGGTGTCGTGCGGGGGACTACCTCACCTGCGAAAATCAGGACATCAACGGCAAGATACCTTCATGGCACGCACAGTCTTCGGTTGCTGATGGTTTTCTAGGCGCTATTCGCGATGGGGGATACGCCGAGTACGTTACTCTCAGGTCAGAGGCCGTCGTCGCGGTCCCGAAGGACATGGATCCGGCCGAGGCTGCCCCGCTACTATGCGCGGGGATCACAACCTTCAGTAAGCCGGACTGACAGAGAACCGCTTCTCTTCCACTTTAATCACAATGCTCTGTAGATGCACTTCGTAACATGAACGTTTCTCCCCCGGACTACGTCGCGATTCAGGGCATCGGGTAAAGATGTCTCATCTCGTATGTTTGACCGCTGTACTAACCTCTTCCCCCCACACCAGCGGTTTAGGACACCTGGCCATCCAGTTTGCCTCCGCGATGGGCTTTCGGGTGGTCGCGCTCTCCTTCGACACGGCCAAAGAGGATCTGGCTCGCCAGCTCGGCGCAGACGCGTTCATCGACGGCTCCAAAGTCAATCAGGCGGAGGCGCTGCAGAAGCTCGGCGGAGTGAAGGTCATCATGTCTACCGCGCCCAACGCGGCAGTTACTGAGAGCCTCATCGATGCCCTCTGCGTGGACGGCACGCTCCTGGTCCTCGCCGTCGAGCCAGAGCCGATGAGAATCCCGCCCCGTGAGTAATTTAAAACCCTCATCCAGCATGTCATCACTAATGTGCTTTTGTCCCCTAGTGGCGCTACTGCTGAAGCGCCTCTCGATCCGGGGCTGGCCGTGTGGTTCGCCAAAGGACGCGGAAGACTGCTTGGCATTCGCGCAGGCCAAAAATGTGAAATGCATGGTCGAGCGGTTCCCGCTGCACAAGGCGCAGGAGGCGTTCGAGCGCAGGGAGACGGCGCGCTTCCGGGCGGTCATCATTCCTTAAAGCACTGCGACTCGTTTTGTCTCCCCCTCCCGGGCTCTCACCATTGTAACACACCGGATCAACTAGTCCCTCTCGTTTCGATGTACGTTTATGGGCGGCTCAAACCTGCTACGGTACGGCCCTTCGGTAATCGTCCGTGTTCCTGTTCGTAACACGGATACTATTTATACGATTTGGACGCTCCAGTATAGCATGTATGACTGATGTCCGACAGTCCCCGCGATGAGATGCGGATTAGGACCCTCTCTGAGGTCAGTCTGGACGATGACTCTAGAAGTGAACGCCTCGCCCTCGACTTCGGTGAAGACGCGCTTCCAGAGACGCTCCCACGACGACCCGGAGTGACCATATCGTTTTCTGAGAGTGGCCTGTCAGCTATCAATGCAACCCGACATAAGCCTCATCACATACCTGCCAAGATGGTCGTCGATGTATCCTTCTTCTCGCAGACCCTGGTGCCGCCCGAACACAATGGCCCCCGGCTCGCGTTTGAGAAGCGTGGCCAGGCGCACGGCGAGCCCGTGCTGCGTCTCCTCGTCGAAGAGGTGGAACAGCGCGCCCGTGTAGACGTGCGTCAGCGACCCCCGCAGCTGCGCGAGGTCAGTCACAGTGCTAATGGCGACGGTCGGGTTCGGCGCTGGGGTGTCGCTTAGACCAGTGCCAGACGGCGGCGGGACGGAAGTGGGAAGGTCGAAGACGTTGTAAGTGAAGAAGTGGATGGGGCATGTGGTCGCGTCGTCGAACAGCTCGTGGCCGAGCTGGATGTACTCGGGGCGGAGGTCGCAGCCGAGGACGCGCGACGCGGGGTAGCCGTCGTAGACCAATTTTCGGACGTCGGTTCCCACTAGGATGGTGCCGGAGACGCCGTGGACGTTAGTTGCGGATACGAATGCACGACTGCGTGAGGGGAGAGGTGCGTACTGCAGCATCCTAAGTCGAGGAATAGGGTGTCTCCGCGCTTTCCCGCAGCGAGGACGGAGGGGTATACGGCGTTGGACTTCATCATGAGGTTCACGAAATGAAACATGCGGATGCATGGATACGGGTAGTCTGCGCTGCGTTGAGGCACGAGGCCTTAGCATTCGGTCTTTTCAAAAGAGATGCAAGGAAAGAGCAGTACTAGGCTCTATCGATATTTTTTATGAATGAGTGTCGGAACATTTATGCGTAGTGGACGGGGCTCGGACATACCGCTTCTGCACATCGTAGATTCGCGTTTTGAGTGTGTCTTCGTCGGGCGAGATCGACGCGTGCAGGAAGGCGCGTTCCTCATCCGAAAACTGGAGCAAAGACGGATCCAGGGCGGGGATGAGAGAGGGCTCGACTTGGCCTTCAGGATTGCCCATCGTTGATGTGATGTTGACCGTGCCCGTCGGTGTATCGAACGCGACTGCTGGCTGTCCGCTACAATGCATGATAGTATTACCGTTCCATAGTTATCTGCCAGCGCCGTGCGAACGATGACATATGGTGCCCGATTTGTTTTTATTGGCACCGGGCGGGGCTACTACTAGAATCACTAGATCAATACATGATTTATTAGTACTTAGTGCACGTACTGCCGCTATACTATGAGCCATACCGATGGCGACGATATCACCTCTCCATTTCGACCGCTGCATATTCACTGAATACGGCATTTCGTAGGGGTCCGGATAGTGTGTTGGTGACTGGTCATACTAGTATTCGGCAGTGAAAGAACAAACTGCTTTCCTCGAAGTTCAGCCCACCTCCGTGATTGCGGTGACAATTCGCGAGCATATCATATTGGCTGCTCTCTGTCCTAGAAGCATCCTTCGATAGCTCAGTTGGAAGAGCGTGAGACTGTAATTGGAAGCTCCATTACCGTGCAGCTGGCATGGGCATCTCAAGGTCACTGGTTCGATCCCGGTTCGAAGGATTACTTTTACCATTTTTTCAGCTTTTCGTTCCGACTATCCGGACACATGACATTACACCAATAGATATCAAATGGAGATGCTTGCCATCTTACCGTCATCGACCGCTTCCGAAACCAAAACGGCGTAAGGCGACGCGAGACTGATCTCTCAATGGGATTCTCATTAATGTGTTCACGAAGTCGAAGTCACATTAGTACGCCGGCGTGGTCCGCCTCGTACACTGGCACCCCGCACAACATCATAATTACTTTGACGATACGGGGATTCCACTAATGAAAGCGTGCTACGCCCTGAGCAGACGCCCCCGGAAGCGTTACTCGGAAAACCATGAATTGGTTATCGTTGTCGAGACCCGCATTGAACGGCTGGCCCAGCGCGATGCCCTCAGTACTAATGAAGTCGTTGTCGGCCTAATTGCAGGTGCGGGTGCGCTAATAAGTAAGCTATCACCTGAGAATGCAGCTAGGATTCTTACCGCGGTGAAGAGGAAAAAATCGTCTGGGTAGGCAGGGTCGAAAGCCGGGGCGAGCGCAAGTGACTCCCACTTCGCGTCAATAAGCGTCTGATCAACGGGTTTCCCTATGGAAAATCAGTCAGCGAGTCCAAGCCGGTAAACAACGACAATTTTCAACTAACCATTGTGCACTCCAAACCTTCCCAGCTGCGTGTCGTCGATAAAGTCAACGAAGGAAACATAGGTGCCGGGAGTAATGTTCTTGTTCAGTTTCCCCTTTTTTGCGATGGGGTTGCTTGGGTCGTCAAACTTGGTACCGTGGATGTCGGTAGCGTCACTGATATCGAGCAGATCTGCTTGTCTGGAACATAGGTTAACGCATCGATGGGACGTGAAGTTCGTGAGACTCACTTGTATGAGGACTTTGCGTCGTCCCCGCCGTGCCCATCGCCGTCGCGGGACAGCACAAGGAAGACCCCGTCGCTCACAAAGTGCAATTCGCTCGAGCCGCGCGTCTTTCCTTTGTTGCTCTGCGGCAGCGGGACGACGAACTCGCTAATGAGCGGCGGGCGCACAAGCAGCGCATTTGAGACGTCATATGCAAGTAGACGCGTGTAGCGTGACGTCGTCTTGTCCGAACCCCCGTCCTGGATGGTGGCAGACTGCAACAACGCATACAACGTCTTTCCGTCGGCATCGAGAGTGAGGCCCTCAAACCCTGTTGTAGTAAACACACATATAGTCATCTGCAAAGTGGGATGGACAAAAAGACAGACCTTGATTCCCCGCCCGCCCCGTCGTGGGGTCGCTATCAGAGGTAAAGTTGAGCTTTCCGTCAACAAGGGGAAGGATAGCCTCCGGGGGTTGGATGGTCTCGATGAGCTGGCCTTCGGGAGAGAACAGATAGATGTATGGGCCGTATTCATCGCTCGTCCAGAAGCTGTGGAAGTAATGAGTGTTGATTCCAAATTGAAACGTTCGAGGGACCCAGATTTACGTTCCGTCGGGGTTCAGGGCAAGACCTTCCGCATCTACGGCAAGGTGGCCGTTAGACGGCGCGATAGGCATGGCGGGATCCTCAATCGTGACGAATCGGGCCAGTGCCTCCGCGGGACGGACTGCTAAAGCATCCAGGCCCGTCGTTTTTTGCGACTCCCGCTCGGTATACAAGAGCGTGTCGCGGTACGCAAGCTGTAATGTCTTCAAACCGTCCTCGAACGAGAGGTTGTCCGAGTCGTAGTACGGGTTCAAGACGAAATCAATTTGGTGCTGGCGCGCTTGGTAGTCGATGGTGCCGTCGCTGCAGGGACAATGTCAGCGGAGTCTCAAGATCAGTATACAGGACACATACACGTTGAAACCTCTGTCGGGCTGGGCAACAATTGTCCCCGTGAATGAGCCGTTGGACTGCTTGACGAACGAGCCCCTCTTGAGCGCGATGGCACTTCCGATGCCTCCCAAGGTGTCCCCTGGTCACAAAAGTAAGCAATGGTTAATGGGCATACACAGGGGTAGATATTTGGCAGCGGCCACCCACCGGTAGACTCCCTGAAATTAGAGGGGATCAGACCAAAGGCAACAAGACCCTGCGCGCCGGAGATAAGCTCAACTGGCCTGTGAGACGATCCAACTAGCCAAACCTTGTTGATGTACTGCTTTCCGCCGAGCTTGACCTTCACGGCGAACGAAGGGTCAGGCTCTGTGCGAGAGGAACGTTGCTCGTAGGGGCGCGCGAGCGAGCTTCCCGCTTGCAGGAGCAAGGCAGCGAGGACGACCAAGGCACGCGCCATCTTGTTCAGCCTCGACCAAGAGGTTCCGCCTTCAGCGGCTCTTTCCCTGTAGCTCTTTTATACGGTCCTATCTGGCTTGTACAGCACCGTACTGGCGGGAATAACTGAGTTACGCCGGAGATCTCGACATCCTGATGGAGCATGCGACGGCGCGCACGTTCGTCTATAAGCTGTGTGAACGGACGCCGTCGCGCCATTTCATTCTCGGCGCGCTCGTCGTTCGGTCGGCGCACACAATCCGATGGCATGTCTGAGGTCCCTGAGCAAGCCTTGATCTGGCGTGATGGGGGCTGGCCGCACCCTCAGATGATGCGACCCAAGAGAGCGTGGGCAGGTTGACGACGGAAGCAATGCCTTGGCGTAAGAAGCTGGGAGGACGTCGCTGCTATTCCTAGCCCTCGACGCTGACCATGCGCTCCTGCCCAAGAAAATTGCGGAGTTAGTGAGGTGTGTGAATAGCATGCAGTAGTAGAGGTCCCGGGACTGAGTTTGTGCGCACCGTTGGCCTCTATCCACCGGCAACTGATTGGATGTTGCCGAATTTAAACTCAGCCAGTGACTCCATGTCAATAGCCTCATAAGTACCAGACGGGTATTCCTTACGTGCGTACATACAATATATCTCGTACTACTGCGCTCGTACTACCCGTAAGAGATCGTTCATGAGTGCTACGTAGCGGTACGAAACACCGTAGTGAGGCCACCCGAGGGCGTGGCACTGCAGTGTTCGGATCACTTCAGCGCTCGCTGATGGCGTTACGCCATATTTCTCGCAATAGGCTCTAGCAATAGCTAGTAGGGCCACTATAGCTAGTAGGCGACATACTATAGACCTGGGACATAACCTGCCATAGCGCCACCTCCATCACGGTTCTCGCGAGCAATATCGGGATCATCGACTACGCATTAGCTATCAGTCCTACCGGGTGATAATCTCGTGGTCTGTCTAGAGGCTGGGCGGGTACCCGGTATATATCACCCTACGACCCAGAAACAAAAGGGACGCAAGTTCAATAACATAGGCTCTTCGGAACTGGCCATGGCAAGGTGATATTGCGCCCCAGTATTAGACCACCACACAGCCAGAGTTGAATCAGGTTGAAGTAGTGGCCTACTTGCAAATAATGATCGCAGAAGAGTGAACCAAAGCCCATGACAATGATTTCTGAAGATACAGTAAAATTGATTCGTGCTCACAATCGGAGTGGTCGGTTGAGACACATTTTTGCCGACTAGATACGAAGTCAACCGCAACTCAGATGTATGGGCATCCTGTGGGGTCGACTGTGATCGGTCAGGCACATATCTGTTTTCTTCAAGCTATCAGGTACTCGATTCGCGGCACGGAGGTATTTTGCCGATTGAATGGCGTCGGTATTATGTGCTAGTTATTACTGACATTGAGCGCCGGGGTCGGCTTGGGCAACTTGGATGCGTACTGATACAAAGAGAGGTAAATATGGCCCAAAAATGCGGACATTGAGTCTAAGATGTGCCTTCATTGATCATTTGCGCTCACTATTCATGTCAATGGCATCCCGTAGATACGGTGCCTTTGAACTGGTCTTGATCATGAATTGTTTTGGATTATGTCGAAGTGTATTGATGACTTCTTCGGATGACCGAGGTCTGATGCAGCAGTCTTATCATACTTTCCGCAGAAGGTATCCTCGTGGATAACTAATGTATATTCGCAGTCGCCAAGCCATGGAGTAGAGAATGAGCAGGACGTTGCGAGCATCTCCCAACCACGCACTCCACCTAGTTTGACGTTACGTAATTGTGTGGTCGTGAGTCGTGACTCGGCTTCTTCGGCAAGGGCCGGCGACCCTGAATGGAACGGACGGCCAGAACGGAATGTGGGGATCACGCAGCTTGCACTAAACGGCGAGGATGCTCTCGCACTGGCTTGTTTTCCTGTCGTGTGCCAGTCTCGCATGCTCTTTTTCTTCTTACGAGTATGAACAGGCGCCCCTTGAGCCTCAAACCCCGGAAAGGCCGGGCGTACTGAGGAGATACGCTCGCTCAAGCTTCCCAGACGGGGATCTGCAAGATGTCATTCGTGCGGCAGAGGTTCCATATACAACCGCTCTTGTTCCCATCTTGTGCTTACACCCGGATTCCAGGCCTCGGACGCTCATGTTTGGCAAGTTGGGCAGTCGCATGTGGACGTGATATTTCAGCGTGCCGATGGACACTTGAACGAACTTTCCTACGAAGCAGGATCGGTTATCCTCGACGGTCTCGACGACTTACACAACTACTCCGGCCGGGGAAACATCGGTTTCCTTGCCAACTCCACGTACCATTCCGTGTATCATCCACTCTACGAGATAGAAGATTTCGTAGGCGAATTAGCACGCACCCGCCCCGATCTCGTCCAGCTTGTGAACCTTGGGCACACTGCACAAGGCCGAGAAATGTTTGCAATGCAGCTGTCGCGGCCAGCTGATGAATTAAAGCGAACCTCGGTAGTGAAGAAGACCGGATTCGTTATAACCGGCGCACAGCATGCCCGCGAGGTTAGTATGACCTTTCATAAGCGCACCCTGTAGTGCTGAGCAACACGCAGTGGATAGCCACTTCTACTGCACTCTATCTAGCTCATGCGTTAGTGGCAGACGAGGCGGAAGACTTTGCCTTGTCTTCGTGGCTGGACTATTTTGTGAGTAAATTATACGGCAGATATAACTTGACAACTCTAACCACTTTACGATAGGATTTCTATATCATCCCGGTCCCCAATCCAGATGGC